CCTGGCTAGGGAACAGTATCAGCCATTCATTAGAGAGAGCCACGTGGAGTCTCATTCTTTGGTTGCACTCATCCAGTGATATAGCAGCTTTCCTATCTAGCATACTGATAGCAAAATAACCGAGCGTGATGACACACTGGTTCTTCCAGTTTTAGAACAGGAAGAGAAGGAAAATAAAGATGCCTTGTTTTGTCTGTCTTTGTATATTAACATAAAAAAGTGCTGCAGCAATCCTCCATTGGAGCCGAGAGTTAGAGTTCGACCAGAGAGACGTAACACTGGCCCCACTGCCCAACAACCTCCCTATCTGAACTGGTTTTGGCAGTGGTGTAGGAGTGCCCCCAAACAACTTCAACCAACACACTAAGGCCTCCTTATGTAGTTCGTCTCAAGACATCATGGCCACATTGACAACCATGAGACTGTACATTGTGGGCCCAGTGCATACTTAACATGGTATTTGACGTGGGTGGTGCTGTGGGTTAAACCACAGAGCCTAGGACTTGCCGGTGAGAAGAAGAAGAAGAAGAAGAAGAAGAAGAAGAAGAAGAAGAGTTTGGATTTGATATCCCGCTTTATCACTACCCGAAGGAGTCTCAAAGCGGCTAACATTCTCCTTTCCTTTCCTCCCCCACAACAAACACCCTGTGAGGTGAGTGGGGCTGAGAGACTTCAAAGAAGTGTGACTGGCCCAAGGTCACTCAGCAGCTGCATGTGGAGGAGTGGAGACGCGAACCCGGTTCCCCAGATTACGAGACCGCCGCTCTTAACCACTACACCACACAGGACGGCGATTTGAATCCCAGCGACGGGGTGAGCTCCCGTTGCTCGGTCCCTGCACATGCCAACCTAGCAGTTCGAAAGCACGTCAAAGTGCAAGTAGATAAATAGGTACTGCTCCGGCGGGAAGGTAAACGGCATTTCCGTGCGCTGCCCTGGTTCGCCAGAAGCGGCTTAGTCATGCTAGCCACATGACCCGGAAGCTGTCTGTGGACAAACGCTGGCTCCCTTGGCCAATAAAGCGAGCTGAGCGCCGCAACCCCAGAGTCGTCTGCAACCTAATGGTTAGGGGTACCTTTATCTTTACCTTTACATTGGTAGTGGTCAAGTAGTGTGGGCAGGGTCCAATAACCCTGTTGTCATGGATGGACCACAACCTGGTGAGGTTTGGACAGATGGTGACTAGTCCTCCCTGCTGATTTGATACTGGATCCAAGAGTACAAGATATGCACTGTCATGTGAGGCCTAAGTGGCTCAAAGAGGTTAACAAGAGGTGTCATTGGCCTCAGTAATCCTCACACAGCAACATCTGATTGGCTATGTGGTGCTATAATGGTCACTATGTGATCCCTGATGGGTTGACGAAGAAGCCTGTGCAAGGACTTATGCTTGCACAATGCAGCTTTCTTCCCCTCCTCTCCCACACCCCCCAAAATTGGCTCAGGGGTGGGTGGGCATAACCCCCAGAACAACATGCTTAAGCAGAAGCTCGGAGTAATCCTTCTGGCAAACTGAAATGGTTATCCTGATAGAATGGATGCTTTAGCACTGCATTTAATTCCTTCCTATACTTAAAAAAAGATTTTTTTTATAATAAAACTATACATGCAGAAAGTAGTGTTTCTTCATAAACATTTCCACCTCCCAGGGTGGGGGGAATATATATATATAAATAAATATAAGTATTGGTGCAGCATTAACCAGAACGGCTACACAAAGTTGAAAAGATAAAATGTAGTACTGTGGATTTTGAGATTTAGTCTCAAATTACGGTGAAACAATAGATCTATTTGTCGAGTGGACATCACAAATTTACAGCACATGTACATTTCATAATACAAGAGAGCAAGAACAAGAGGGCAGTGCCCATCAAGGCACTGAGCTTAATACCTTTAATCCTCCTTCTGGAGTCAGTATGTCTGCTAAATATATCCCATTAATGCTAATTTTAGATGGCTGAGTGTTAATCAATGGACACCCTGGTAATAATTTCTAAGCATGTAGAATGTATTCCAGAGAGAAATGGACTGAAGGAACAGTTTGAACATGGGTAGCATGCCATTTAAAATAAGATCTCTGTTAAATAATGTATATGACAAATTCCTAGACAGAGTAGCTAATTAGACTGCTGAAATACTTTGAATATCCTAATGGACTCCAAGCATCAGCTGCTCTATTTACTAAGAACTTAAAAAAAAACAACCAGTCAATATTTTAATCATTTTGTAATGAATATTCCATAGAAACTCTTTGAACTGGTTCCTCATATGGACACCATGCTGTTCTTTACGCAAAATGGCATCCATCATGACCTTATGAACAGACCCTGTGACTGCACAAACTGTGTGCATGTTGCCTCTATCTGTACACATGTTCCGATTGTGCAAGTTTGTTCTTGGCTACAGACAATAGATAAGGAGGAGGCAGTTTAACCACAATCCCACATTTGGATGACACCCTGAGCTAAAACGACCAGGGAGGAGCAAAGACTACTATCCACGTAGTCCTGATAAGGCATAGTTTGGTTTACCATGATGTGTGAACACAGCCTGTGAATACACTACAGTTAGTTCACAAGGTCTAGTAAAGACATGGAGGCCAGGAACAAGGCTAGAGGGGATGATCCTTACTCTTCTTCCTTGTGCTTTGTATTCCAACACAAGGAAAGAGATGCGTTGGAGCTGGGGACCGGCAGGGGACAGGAGGAGAGATGGAGATATGCACACACATCTTCCAAACCATTGGGAGTGACTCCATTTCTCTGCAGATGATCTCAGATAATTCCTAGCTATTCTAAGGCAAACTGCCAGATAGTGCCCGTTACAGGTGGACAGGCTATGATAAAGGCACTCAGATCTGAATCTGCATAGAATAATATAATTTTCGAAATGGAAGGGACCCTAAGGGTCATTTAACCCTACAACGCAAGAATCTCAGGTAAAGCATCCATGACAGATGCAACCTCTGCTTAAAAACCTCCAAGGAAGGAGAGTCCACCACTTTCTGAGGGAGCCTGTTCTGCTGTTGATCAGCTCTTACTGTCAGAAAGTTCTCCCTGATGTTTAGTTGGAATCTCCTTTCTTATAACTTGAATCCATTGTTTTGGGTCCTACCCTTGTTATCTTGGTCACTCGCCTCTGCACACATTCTAGCTTGTCGATAGCCTTCTTAAACTGTGATGCCAGCCCAGAACTGGACACCATACTCCAGTTGAGGTCTGACCAAGGCAGAATAAAGCGGTACTATTACTTCTCTTGATCAGGACACTAGACTTCTGTTGATGCAGCTCAGAATAGCATTAAACCACATCTATGATCAACCAGAAAATATACTTCATTTCTGACACATTTTATTTTCTGTTAAATTTGGCTGTCACAAAAAACCTGCAATTTTCTTTGCATTTCACTTCACAACCGATTCCATGAATCATGGCTGTCCTGCTTTCCTATGATAATGACAAAAATATGCATCATGATAGAAAACACCGCTGTGTTTTATATCATTAGCCACCTCCAATTATAAATAATCTTATCAGGATCTAGATTGGAAGATTAAAAAAATCAGTTATGTCTGCAAGCCGCAGTTGTATTCAGGCAATACGGATATGATCAGAAGCAAAAAGAGGAGAAAGCAACTCAGGTTTGATACTAGATGAGAAAATATTTAATTAATTCAACTGAGAAATGCTTGAATTCATGCGTAGCTCACCATCAAAACTCCCTCTGAATATAAGGCACTATGTCTGTGGAAATTCATATCAACTACAACACTTTCATTTTGTTATCACATGAATACCCAGTGCTTTTTTCCCTAAAAGATGTTTAGGGGTACTCTCATTTTCCTACTCATATTGAAATACTGCCCCTCAGTGAGGCCAAACTTAGATTCACAAAATGTTTAGGGGTATGCATACTCCTGTGCCCCCCCAATAAAAAAAGCACTGTGTATACCTGACACAAGCTTTTAGCCCTTGCCAGTTCTGACTGGTCAATATTCACTCTTCCTAAGCACCCAGCACCCAGCTTGTGGAAACATAACAATTTCTGCCAGTCTATGGTCTAAGAATTCCAATATTTATTTGTTTAGATTCTCATAGATTCTCAAACTTTTATTGGCATACGTACTAGATTCCAGTAGGGTTCAATACAAACAAAACCACACACCAAAAAACCCCTATCATAAACCCTGCATTTAGCACTTAAGTTAGTGTTGTATAGCATTCACAAATTCTCATTGTGTGTTGCGGAAACATGGCTACTGTCTCCATCTTGTCTACATCCTGAGAAAACATTTGTTTGTTTGTTTGTTTTGTTTGTTTGCTGCATTTCTCCAAGGAGATCAAGGTGGTGAACATGGTTCTCGCCTTTCTCATTTAATCTCCACAACAACCGTGTGAGGTAGGTTAGACTGAGAGGCAGTGATTGGCCCAATATGAACACATGATGCCTCAACTGCCTGCTCTGACTGGCAGTGGCTCTCTAAGGTCTCAAGCAGAGGTCTTTCCTAGCCCTGCTGTCTGTTATCCTATTAGGTGGCGATACAAGGAATTGTATACAAAACACGAGTCATGGCCCACAGTACCACACAAGGCTCTATTCCCACAATACTATAGCACTACTTCTAATACCTCATTTATACAGAATCCTGCAGCATCTGTTATCTTCAGCCCTGCACCCTCCATGGGAATGGCATTTCTATGGAAGCCAATCAAACTACCTTATTCATGTAATATTAAGCTGCGTAGCTGTTTGCAAACCCAGATCAATTCTCTGTCGGGTCCTTGGGCCATAGCCTGTAATGTGATAGCACAACACAGCCCACTAGGCATTGTAGAACAAATTGTTAATAATACTGAAAATGTAAAACCCATGCAACATCTACTAGAACACGCTCCAGCAAAGCCAAAAACAAAACAAAACACCCTTGTTAAAACCAAAGTCGACTATTTGTCATGAAGAAATATAGCTTGAACAGAAACTTTATAATGGGTTTTACATACCATAAATTCCTGTTGAAATACATGGGAACGCCTGCAAGACAAAAACCAAGATGTAAATTAGAATTTTATTTTATTTTTGCCTTAGAATCCCTTATTACACAGAATCATTTAGAATGAGGAAACCACAAACTGCTTCATGTAAAGAAACCCCTACCTCTAAGTTGGCAGGGCCTGGTGAAACGCCCTCCAGAGTGCTGAGAGAACTAGTTCAGGAGATCAGAAAGCTGCTCACAATTTTCTTTGTGAACTCAATGGAGAACAGATAAGGTCCTGCAGCACTTTGGAGAAAGCTAAACATATACAGTGGTACCTCGCAAGACGAATGCCTCGCAAGACGGAAAACTCGCAAGACGAAAGGGTTTTTGGTTTTTTGAGTTGCTTTGCACGACGATTTTCCCTACGGGCTTGCTTCGCAAGACGGAAACGTCTTGCAAGTTTGTTTCCTTTTTCTTAAAACCGTTAATACAGTTGCGACTTGACTTCGAGGAGCAACTCATAGCACGCGGTGTGGTAGCCTTTTTTGAGGTTTTTGAAGACTTTGGTGATTTTTGAAGCTTTTCCAAAACTTTTCCGACACCGTGCTTCGCAAGACGAAAAAAATCGCAAGACGACAAAACTCGCGGAACGAATTAATTTCGTCTTGCGAGGCACCACTGTAGTGCCTTGCCAAATGTGAAAAGAGGGAGGACCCAGGGATTTTTTAAAAAAACAACAGCAACAACAATAAAACTTACATAGTGTAGACGCTATTAGAACAATTACAATGTGATCAATCTGCAAGCATCTAGAGGAAACTGGAATGACCACCTGAAGACAGCATAGATTTGTTCAGAACAAAGAACAAAGTACTCTCTTTCTTTGATAGGGTAATACATTTAATAGATAACAAAGCAGATATATATCTTGACTTCGGAAAATATTTCTTGGGAAATTCTCATAAGAGAAGCTGAGGAGTTTGTACTCTGCTCTTCCTTCTCCTAATACAGCAGTCATATAGCTTGTTGTGGGGTTGGAATGCATGCTGGCATCATCCATAGTGTGACTCCTCCCCCAGACCTTTAAACATTGGGTGGAAGGAAGCTTGAAAGGGGGAAACCATGCACACTAGGCTCTTCCATGTGACAAGAGAGGCCAAAAAGTTCCCAATCCTATGCTAAACTCCCAATGCTGGGATCTATGGGAACTACAGCAACATTGTTCTGTTTAAGCTCCTGAGTTTGTATTTTTTTAAGGCATTGAAGGAGTTGGAGCCTTTAAAGGTCCCTGGCACAACATCTTAATGCCTCTGGATTGCTTATAAAAGCACTACAATCGTACCTTGGAAGTCCAACGGAATCCGTTCTGGAAGTCCATTTGACTTCCAAAACGTTCAGAAACCAAAGCGCAGCTTCTGATTGGCTGCAGGAAGTTCCTGCAGCCAATTGCAAGCTGCAGAAGTCGGATTCCAAAAATAGTTTGCAAACTGGAACACTGAAATGTTTGAGAACTAAGCTGTTTGAAAACCAAGGTACGACTGTACAACATTTTACTGACAAAACATAGCCACGAAAGGATTTTCAGGACCCTTTAGAAGCACATGGTGCAGAGCTGCATTTGACTTATAGCATTATTCTCATAATTCAAACTGCCTTGCAGGTATTTGCAAGTCTTCCACATTAGGTCAAACCTTTGCTCCTATCTCACCAGCAAAACTCCGGATTGCACAAGGCAGGACTCTGAACGACTCTTCACATCTGACCTTGCTGCAAACGCATAAACATGAAATGTTGTGCTAATGGCTACCCTAAGTATGCATTAGCACAGCAATCATCTTTGTTTTTGCAAATTGAGTCTCACTCCCCCCCCAAACCCAAATCCCCTCCAGCTGCATTAACTATACTTCAGCAAAACATGTAGCTCCTGTATCAGTCTCTACAGCCACAGCAGGCGCTGTGACCTTCTAACAGCTTGACCTCATCCCCCAAAGGTGCACTTCTTCATCATCTCCCAAGACAGACAGATGCCAACCAACTCAACCAGTAGAATAAAAGGGGTCTCGTTGAGAGCAACTATCCTTAATATTCATGACACACCCATTCTCCAAGTGTTTGTTCTTATGTAGCTAAAATGACACCAGCTATACACCAGATGGAGGCGTGCAGGAAACCCTGAGTTGGAAGAATGATACAAAAAAATCCATTAAAAAACTAAGGAGACTGAGCATGTTCGGTTGCCATGGAGTACATGACTGATGGTGGAAGGAAAGAGAAAACTGGGGAAAGTGGAGTGGAAATTAATGGAATATCTTGGGTGAAGACATGGCTGGCTGGCATCATAAAAAGGAGCACTCCACACTGCAATGTTTCGTCACAGATTCCATTTATTAACAAAATGGGGGGGATGACATATCATGAAGCAGATTTCTAGAGGGATCTACTCTGATATAAATTATTTGGGCGTAGGAAGTGGAAAGTACAAAACTACAGAGGGCACAACTGAAAGATACATATAGCAAACTCCTCGCAGCACAGCATATTCATATTTCTCAAAGAAGAAATGGTCTAGAGGCAGTAAAATAAAGTATCAAATAAAGGAATTCTTTGCACAGAAAAGATTAGAGACTATACAGACTGAAGTTCAACAATCTGAAGGCAAGTAATATTTTGTTTGAACCTCGCTACAAAAACTGTGGAATTTCAGATTCTATTGGGCGCTATATTTTCAGAACAACAGGAAACGAACAGAGACAATTGCAATGGTGAATACAGTACAGGAAGCATGACAGTGAGAGAAAGTTGAAGGAACAAGGTATTCTTATTCCTAGAAAACAAATTAAGGGACAATATGGTAACAATTTTCTAAAAAGTAAAAGGCTGTCATTATAGGAAATGGAGAAAAATGGTTCAGCTGCTCTGGAGGACAGGGCAATCGGCTTGAAGTGCCAGAAGTTACATTTAAGTTGAATATTATGAAATACATCAAAGCAGTTGCTGAATTGACTTCATTGGATTTTTCTTTTTTTTTAAAGCAAAACACACACACACAAAACACACACACAAGCTGATGTTTCCATTTCAAATATCACTGGGTGTCGAAGAATGGTAGTAAAATATGCAGAGAATTGAGAGGTTTATTTATTTATTTTTCACTTAAAAAAAATAAAAAATATTGAATTGCTTCAGCTCTCCAACCGAGGTGGCTGCCAACATCAAGAAGAAAAACAATGCAACAACAAAAGACCTATCAAGAAGTCATAGAGCAAATATCATTTGAACAAACAGGCTTAGAGAACTGGATGGGGAAAGCCTGTTAACAGGGAAATAGCCCTGCACACTAGCATTGAGAATCGTTTCAGTGCCAGGCTTCAGGGAGAGCCAGAATTGGTGGGGCAGAAGGGAGAAAAGAGGAGAGGAGAAAGCAAAAGGCCAAAGGAAATGTTTCAACTGTGCCTCTGCACCAGCACTGTATAGATTTCGGGGTGTTGGTTGTTTTTATAGTGTCAATACCAGCTTTCCTCCCACGATAATAAAACAGGGTTGTTGAGACTGAGGCATGGGGGTACAGTTATCTCCTCCACCACACATGTGGTTAATGTAATGTGTAGTTTGGTTCAACAGTGCCTTTATCCCCATGCTGCAATGTCTCTTCAGAGCATAGCTGTCAACTTTCAGATTTGAAAATAAGGGATCAGCAGCCTCGAAAATATGGGATCAGCAGCCTCATCTGTCCCGGGGACAGTCCACAGGATATTTAACAATCCGGGGAAGCAGCGGGAAACGGCGCTAGAATAAGGGGATTGGGACAGAACACCATTCATTGCCATCTATACAATTTCCAGCTAAAGCCACCCCTCAAGGATCTGCAGCCCATCTGGGCAATAAGCCTTCCCTCTCGCAGACAGGCAACAGAGACACAAACACAGAAATCAGACCCTGACACAAAATCCAATGACAACTCTATTCCCAACTCTACGCTAGCAACACCATTACACTAATAATGCTGGCCACAAAGCCAATAGTCCATCGCCTGCTCATCTCCAAATGTGATCTGGCCAGCAATTCCCTCCCACATTCTACACAGAATTTCTTCTTGCAAAAGAATAAATGTGCACGAATCTGACATCAGAAATGGCAATACAGAGAAATCAATAGGGCACTATTTCAACCTACCAAGTTATCCAGTTATTGATCTTAAGATAGCCATCCTGGGGAAAATGAAACTGGAAAGACAAACTCTAGCTTGAAACTGCTGAACTGAAAAGTTCAGTTCTAGTCATTTGGGACTAAATAGAGACACTGGTGTTCTGTCCTACTACATGTGCTAATTAACTCAGCAATGCCAAAATGATCATTCACTCACCAACTACTTTTGCTGTGAAGCGCATAGCTGTCAAGTGTCCCTTATTTGAAGGGACTGTCCCTTATTCCAGCGCCATGTCCCGCTGCTGTCCCTTATTGATGGATGTCCCTTAAATGTCCCTTAAATGATGTCCCTTAAATTTCAAAGGAAGCAGCTCCTCTCCCTCCCTCCCTGCCGGCCAGGGAGGAGGGAGGCTCCAACTGTGTTGCTTGGCTGTGTTGCTCACCCAATAAGAAGTCAAAGAATGACTGGGGGGTGGAGCTTGCATGCCTTGTGTGTGGCTAGTTAATGCAAGCTGAGGGGGTTTTTTGAATGCTGGATGCCATTTTGTTGCACGTGCTGCTGCAAACTTTGCAGTGCAAAGCCAGGCCGGGGAGCCAAGTTGAGGCTGCATAGGCCTTGTGGTGCATGTGATTCAGATTCTGTTCAGTTGAACCTCTGGTTACAAAGTTGGTTGGACAGTGTTCTCGAAGTTACCAGCATGAGTTTGACCAGACTGAAGGACAGGAAGACTGGAGTGTCTGGAACAGGTGAGGCTGCAGGTCCCTTATTTTCAAAGCTGCTGGTCCCTTATTTTCAAATCTGTAAATTGACAGCTATGGTGAAGCGTCATTTTGCATACATTTATCTTCTAACTGAATTGTTACAGGCTATACTTCTGCATTCCACTGATCATTAACTCCAATCTTTACA